TGTTATACAGTTAGAGAATATTCCCAATAAATGTACCCCGTATGGTTTGCATTGTTGATACTGGCATAATGATGGTGTTTGATTTATTCAAATGCCGAATTTGTACTAACAGTATAATGCAGTAACAGAGGGAACTAAAAATAAAGGCCTGACTCAAATAAAAGCCTGTCTCAAATAACAGCCTGTTACTTCTGTGGCTTAGGTTAGTGAAGGCTGTGGCCACTATTTGAGGAAATACTGTAATTAGTCATGCTGACTAGCCCTGCAGTGTCACTTTGTGTCAACCAGTGATGGACGGTGGTTTTGTGTTAGAACAAACAAAAAAAGTTCTTCTTGGGGATCCTACACAGGCAGTTTGCTGAAGCAGTGATCACCATTCAGAGGATGTTGTGCTGCTAAAACAACGTTATTTCCGTTGATTTTATTTGAAGTATATGGCCACCTTAAAGCATGTCACTGACAAGCATTCTCCACTGTGTAAAAACATGCTGCTACTTCTGCATTGTATCTTGTGATTGCATTTGTGCCTTTCATTCATATCCGGTGCTTTTCACAAATCCATCTGAGTCTGACTTGTGGACTGCCCTGGTGCTGAACCTAGCAGTGAAGTAGCCTTGTATAACTTTCTAATTCAGCTGGATGATGCACTCTGTGGAGACTATATGAATTTCTGGTGTTGCCATCTTGTGTTGTTATGTGATGTCATTTAAGTTTATTCCCGTTCTCAATTGGCTGGAAACTAAATAACAGCAGTTAAATGCCAAAGTTACCCATCATTTCAAAGCAAAAATAATATTGTGCCTCAAAGCTGTTGATATCTCAACAATAATATTCAACCAAGCCTATAACTGTATTCCCTGGACAAGGAATACATATGCTTTTGGGATGGATCGCAGATGCTTTCTTGTTAATGAGAACTCAAAAGTCTTTGAGATCTTTTTTTCAGACTTGGCATGTACATTGAGTGGTTGATGAACTCAAACTGATCAAATATTGAGAGGCACTGTACTAAAATTGGAGTGGCTGTTCTGTCCTGAAACCGTAAAGCTGGAAATTTTAAAATGTAGTATGCATTTTATAAAATGTTGAATAAGTAGAAGTCGTTTATTGGTGATTTCATGTTGGTCGAAGTTTCCGCTTTTTAACAATGTATACGGTTATTTTCTATACAAATCAATTCAGGTGAAACAAAAAATGTACGTGTTCCTGGTTGCAAACTCTTTCAGACTCTCACGCATGAAATCTTTCGGCAAATCTATATTCCATTCTGAACTTAAAATTTGCTGCATCAAAAACGTTACGGCAGTTTGCAAACGCTACAGACTATTTACAAGGTAATAAAACTTACATACATATAAATGTGTGTGCAGAACAGAGAACAGAAAATCTCACTCCATGCAGCTGACCAAAATTGCCAACCCTGCATTTTATTTTAAATGAGAAGTAAAATGCAGTTTTCGACTGAAGCAGCTCATTCCTTTGCTTTGTTACTCGGACAAATACAAAACGAATGATTAAACATTATATACGTCTCTTTTTGTACAGTATGTTTTCTAAATAAGACCGCGTGCCCATACCCAACTGTAGTAGCGATTAAAGCGATCTATTCTTTTAGTATTTATGTTAAAGCAAGACTTTTATTTTATTGCTGTTGTGGGATTAATCTTTAAAAACACGTAAATTTAATAAGCACAAAAACATATGACATAAACACGACTGTATTGTGGGTTTTACGGCTTTTTTGGAGGTCACCGACTCTGCTGTGAGAATTACTGACTCATTGTTGTTTTGATGGGTTAGCGGTATACTAATGCTATTGCCTATTAACAAAAACCAAAGGTATGATACGCTTAAGTATATTGCAGCTGGTGTTTAAAAGGAGCTCGCCGGTTCTATTGATGATAGGACCTTTCTGAAACAATCTCGGACCATGAACTAATAAGGCAATTCACTTATAGCTCAGTAGCGGAATCAATATTTTTTCCGCACCGCGAACGCAACATTTTCTTCGGGTTTCACGTGTTTGCTGTTTGTGGGCGTGTACTCCGTCGCCTAGGGCCACTTCTCATTGGTGAGCATGACTGTCACATAAGGAGCACAGCACGTGTGATTGGTGAGAACGACTGTCACATAGGGAGCACGGTATGAGTTTGGAAAACTATTCTTACAACAGTTTTAAACCCTGGGTCCGACGTGCTGTACAATGCATGTCCTAAATCGCAGCCTTTGCGATTTGCTAATCACGTTCTTTCAAATCGCGATTTCGATTTGAAATCGATAAATCGTTCAGCCCTATCGTGCTCTGTCTTTATCACCTATACCCACTTTTGTCTCCTTAAAGGCTCCCCCATCTGTGTGTGTAACTGAGTTTATTCTCACTTACTGTTTTACCCCACTGTCCTTTTATAGATCACACAATAAGAGTCTGCTAAAAATTGAACTTTGTTGTCTGCCTCATGATCTCTTCGCCACTCAAGGGCCAAAATATTAGACCTGCAGCATGTTTTTAATTTATCATTAAATTACGCCAGAAAGTCTTTCGTTTTCCACAGAATGAAAATTGATGTAATGTTATTCTGCTAATATGCTGGCAAGTTGTTTTACTGCTGGCAGCAGTGATATTAGACAAAACTATATCAGTTATGGATAGGTATGCCGAAGGTTTGGATGCGATAGCTCATCCCACTTTCGCTGATGTTATGAAAGCAAATTCTGAGACCAGCTTTTCTGTGGTCCCATGCTGGAGAATTTTTTTTTGGCCCAGGGCCTTTTTTTTGTAGTGGAAAAGCGCTGAACTTGGGAAAAAGTCCAAACGAGGCATATGACATTACATGGTAGTTACTTAGTTATACTTATGGAGTCGCATCAGGTCAGGTCAGGTTGGAGAGCATGCGCTGATGCAGAGTGTTGTCATACCCACCACATGGCGAAACTCCTCGAGATCCCGGCTGGCGACCCCCCCCAGGCAGACACACAGTCCATCCATCTGCCGCAGCCAGGTGTTACTTGGGCGTCCCCTCAGCCTGATCCAGCCGCTCAGGTCCTCAGCAATGAGAGTCCTGAGAGCCAGATCACCCTCAGGGAAATGCGCCACATGGCCGTAGTGCCGTAACTGACACTCCCTCACAGTGCAGGTAATGTGCCTCATTCTGGACTCCTCTAGCAAGTCAAACCAGCGGTACCCAGGGATTCTCAGAAGAGCCACAGTACCAAAGGAGTCCAGTCTTCGTCTCAGCTCACTGGATAGTGTCCATGTTTCACAGCCATACAGCAAGACAGGGAGCACCAGGACTCTAAAGACTTAGACCTTTGGAGCGAAAGTGTAGGAGCACACCCCTGGCAAACCCCAGAATCAACTGGGAAGAACACAGAGATTCTCCCTCCACTCCGCACAGCACTCACTGTACCAGTGTACAGACTGGCCATGATTTCAAGCAGCTTTGGGGGGATCCCGCAAAGTCTCAGAATTTCTCACAGGGCAACACAATCAACAGAGTCAAACGCTTCATGAAAATCGACTATGAAGTACCTCTGCCGATATTAGCACTTGTGCTCAATGAGAACCCTTCGTGCCAGAATGCGGTCAATGGTAGAATTTTTAGGCGTAAAACCAGATTGCTCCAGCCGCTGATAGGAGAACAATTGATCATGGATCCTGGTAAGGATGACCCTAGTAAAGGATCTTACCGACACTGAAAGCAGTGTTATCCCCTTGTAGTTGCCGCAATCCAGGCCATCACCCTTCCCTTTCCAGATAAGGACTACAAGTCCCATTTTCTAGTCAGTTGGGATGATGCTTGACTCCCAAATGGAAGGTTTTTTTGTTTCCCATTCGCTCTGTGCAATGTGCAACATCATGTGCACAGTTTAGGTTAATATGCTCACAAAATGGTAAATCAAGCTCAGAAAATCTAAAGAAATCGTGCCATCAGTCTAGCCATCTGCACATACTTTTGAAGTGCACAAATACCACTTGTATGTAAATTGTTATTGAATTAATATGAAAGGCAAATGTATAAAAACTGCCTAAGTAAATATGTAAATGGTAATTAAATGACCACAAGACATACTTTTTTTTTATGACAAAAACTATAGGAAAATAAATTTGCAATAGCAGGTATGCATTATTATTAAGTTAAAGGCTCAGAGATTGATACATATATTGGTTATTATCATGCATAGTATTAAGAATTGGATGATCATAAGCCCTAATTTCCACCATAGAATTCATTGAAACTTTGGACAAGTGCCAGGTCTAGCAGAATAAGACCAAGCTGGAATGGGAGACATGAATTCTGCACTTATGGTTTTGCCGGCACGTCCACAAATTACCAAATCAAGAGCACAACTTGATTCATGGCAGAACTCGAAACACCAAAATGAGCACAAAAAAGGAAATAGTAGGTATATTTTAGGGATTTCAGGAGCTCAATTTAAATTTTTGTAGCCACGTTAAACTAAATTGTGCACAAGATTTAATACATTGTGCTAAAAAAAAAAAAAAGTTGTGCATGGCCCCTCCAGAACTCCATCTGTACCATTAATGTCTGTGTGTGTGACAGTTCTTACTGCTATATCATGGACACTATTGGTCATCATGCAAATGAGAAATGCATCTAATATAAATATTTAGACACACAAAATGATGTGTAATATAAATGACATTTGAAGACATGGGCATTAAGGCATATACAAAGAAATACAGTTAATTGGCATTTAAGTGGAATGTGCAATAAATGAATAGCTGTAGTTTCAGAGTTATGTGTCACTAGTAGGTCAGAGAGCATTCACATAAAAGCACATTTATTGACTTTCACTTTCTGACTTGGTCCACCCAATACTTCTAGAAAATGTAGAGGTTGGGGGTGTGGGAGAAGTAAGGATAGGATGGGGGAGGGGAGACGGGGGCCTGGAAAATACCAGTTTAACCATCTTATGTTTATCTTATTCTGCTGGGGTTTATATACAGATTGACTGATCGATGGGCTTTTTAATTGCAGGTGAGTGTCGTCCAGGACTCTGTCAACATCTCGGGTCAGAACACCATGAACATGGTGAAGGTACCTGACTGCCGGCTAGCGGACGAGCTGGGCGGGCTGTGGGAGAACTCGCGCTTCACCGATTGCTCTCTGTGCGTGGCTGGCCAGGAGTTCCAGGCTCACAAGGCAATCCTAGCAGGTAGGAACAGGGAAGCGACCTGCAGTCATCGCTGGGGGTAGAGCGGGCTGGGGGGGGGAAGTGTGACAATCTCTGCACCGTAGGAATGGAATTCATTAAGGAATAGAGCTCTGGTGTCAGTGTGTTGTATTTTTAGAGTGTCATGTAGACTTACACACACAAACAGAGTTGCTATAATGGCAGCCATCAACCAGGACCTTTTGATTATTGGGGCTGGGTAGTACAGACTAAGGGCGCCTTACAACCGCACCAAGTATGGTACTCAATTGGTACCCTGCCACTGAAACACAATACAAATGCTGCCTTGAAAACAGTTACGATCTCAGAAAACAAAGTAAAAAAAAATAATTAATTGCGATTTGTTTGGAAGAACAAATACAACAAAAAGATCAGAACTGCATGACGAGGAATTTAAGAAGTCCATTCCTCCATCCATCCATCCAATTTAAAAAGTGTTTTTGTTTAATATACTAGGATATAGGTGTATGTAGCATAGGCACATATAGCCTTAGAGACAGTGAGGAGCTCGGACATTCGGGAGGATCTCAAAGTAGAGCCACTGCTCCTCCGCATCGAAGGGAGCCAGATGAGGTGATTAGGGCATCTATCTAAGATGCCTCCTGGACATCTCCCTGGGGAGGTGTTTCGGGCATGTCCAGCCCAGAGGAGGCCCAGGGGCAGACCCAGGACACGCTGGAGAGATTATATCTCTTGGCCTGCCTGGGAACGCTTTGGGATTCCCCCAGAGGAGCTCGAGGAGGGGGCTGGCTAGAGGGAAGTCTGGGCATCCCTGCTTAGACTGCTACCCCCGTGACCCAGCCCTGGATAAGCAGCAGAGAATGGATGGATGGGGATGGCATTTTTGAAATTCAGTACAAAATACCCCACCTTGCTTTGTGATATCATTTGGCACCAGTACCAGTTTTTATGCCAGTAGAACACCAACACCTTGAAGTACCGTACTTTTGGAACCTTCTCAAAGTCTCAAAAGTAGGGTACCTGGTGCAGTGGAAAAGCACCCTAAGCATGGAGTCATAGTTCTCTTCACTGAGAGTGCTTGTTCTGGCTATCCTCTGTGAGTCGTTATCATTTCTGGCTTTATTCATGGGTTTGTAGTCATGATTAATCACAGTTCATTTTAGTTGCAATCCTTTTTTAAATAATTTTATACACCTGTTGTTTTTGTCTGTGAGTGATAATTTTGGGCAAGGCAATGAAGTCCTGAGAGATGGAAAATTGCAGACAGTGTATACACTGGTGGCAGTTATCCGGTAACCGGGTACTGACACAGGGACACTCACCAGTAGCCTAAAAAGACGGTTTTTACCATACGTGATGGGAAATGGGCTTGATGGATTTGTGGACAAGGTGCAGTCTGCCATCTCAGGCGCCATCCGTTTTGTCTCAGGCCGTTCTCTGCCTTGCAGCTCGCTCACCTGTCTTCAGCGCCATGTTCGAGCACGAGATGGAGGAGAGCAAGAAGGTGAGTCTGCTCCAGAGTTGGCGTCGTAGAAACCCGCCGTTCCTTTCAGCCGGAGACGCGGAGGCTGGGCTCTTTGGCAAGCGGTCCAGATGAAGCCTCAGGGAAATGCGCCGCCGGCTCGCCGCCCCCGGGCGTCGGCTGGGAGCTCAAGGTGTGGGGGTGCTGAACGTAGCCAGTCTCCCTCTTGGCCGTGGGAGAGACTCCTCCTCCTCACTCTCCTCCTTCTCCTCCTTCTCCTGTGCTGCCATGCTGTTTGTGCTAGCTCTCCAAGGAACTTCCTCTTCAGTTATTTTTGGATTGAATTAGCATGATCCCATTCCTACAGTCTCTCCCGCAAAGTGTTTGTCAAGCCATTCCCACCCTGAGGAGATTATTTTGCATGTCCTCCCATGTCGCTGATTTGTGGCTGGGAGTGGAGGCTTTGCCATCGTCCATTAATGTGTTAGTATGGCCGCGCTGGGTGTGCCTTTCAGTCTTTGTGTTTTTATTTTTAACTGGGTCCATATTCCAAGCTCTGTAGTTAAACCTCTGTTGTAATAGTTTGCTTGTTGTATCTGTTGTATCCATGTTATGCTGCATTACGGCCCTGTGTCTGTGATGACTGATGTTAGTGTGTCTCCTAGTTTAGGTAGATATTGTGATGCCCTTTAAAAATAAAGATTCATGCTCTTTATAAGTAACTTTTCATTGTATAATGGTTTTCAATAGTATTGTTCTTGTCTCAAAGGGACAAATTGGGAGGAAAAACAGTTCTGATTTCAAGAACGAAGCAGCACAGCTGTCATTGTGTTTTTGGTACCAGCTCGGTGTGTGTGTGTGTGTGTGTGTGTGTGTGTGTGTGTGTGTGTGTGTGTGTGTGTGTGGCCGGCCATCGCGAGCCCCACGTTGGAGAGCCCTGTTGGAAATCCCCGGGGTCTCTCCGGCCCATGGGAGCTAGACGTGATCCTTTCACACCACCACATGTCAGTAGTGGTTCGGGTCAGGATGTAAAGTCTGGCCCCCTCCCAGGAATGCCTTATTTTTTTTAACACAGGAATATCTTCAGCTGCTGCCTCTCTCCTCTGTTTAATCCTGCCAAACATTTACTGTCCCACTTTAGAGTCACTGATGGGGGAGGTTAAATGATCCCTTTAACGGAGCAGCAGGGTGCGAGCGCGACAGCAAGAGGCAGGGGGCCCAAGTTCAGCCAAATTACGTTTGATTTTCTGTTTCAAAGATTATGGTGAAATACTGTGTTTTTCCTCATTATATCTCCTGTCCCCAAGCAAAAGAAAGAACTGAAAGCAAAAACCGGGAAATAACTGCCAAACAAACCCATTTTCCCTGAATACTGCTGGTGGCAAATGAGCACCTTTCACTTGTAGCTGCTGCCCTGTGGTTCAGGGCGCTGAGTCAGTTTTCTTTGGCAGGTTCGTGTTTCAGACTCCACTCCTGAATCTTAATGAACGTGATGGAGTCAGTCCTCCATCACAAGCAGCTCGCTGCGTTCACCTGCTTTTATTGTCAAAGTACTTTGTAAACATGTTTAAAGTGCTTTATGTTCCTTATGCTTCTCCCTGCCAAAACTAAGGTTCTTCAGTGCTGGATTTTTTTTCTATTTCTCCACAACAGAGTTAATTTTGCCACCCTGGGGAGAAGTGCTTCTGTGCCAGCCTCTGTGTCCTTGTGGCACAACTCAGACCCAGCCTCTGTGTCCTTGTGGCACTTCAGACCCAGCCTCTGTGTCCTTGTGGCACTTCTCTCCACTTTGGCTGTTTGTGACATCAGGCCACTTTCTTTGTGAGGATTTCCCTTTTGCTTTTCCCTGTGAGCTACTCTCATTCTTCCCTCTGCGTTTCAGTCCAGAAGAGAAAGTACAGAGTGTACATGATATCCGTTATAATTAATATTACTCTTCTATTCCTCTGAAATCTGTCCATCTTGAATTTATCAAAACAAGATTTTAGATTTTTCTTACATTTGAACAGGCATTTATCTGCTACATTTCTGCTGTGATATATGTAGTTATAAGAGAAGATTTATTTATGGCATATTTTTGCTTGTAAAGGTGAGGATCGGATAGCAGAATCATTCCCTGTCCCTGGAGCAATTGGGATTAAAGGTCCTGCTCAAGGGCCCAATGTGTCATACGATGACATTGCTGGCCATGGGATTTGACCCCATGACCTTCTGATTACACACTACCCCCAGAAGGGGTTTAACATGGTGACATCTTGCTCTGATTTCACTTCTGCAATCTTTAGCGGCAGCCATGACAACAACCCTCGCAGTACAAAATGTTTCATCATCATGGCAGCAGAGACGACAGCGGATGGGCCTCCTTTTCAGGATGGGATGCACTGCACTAGGGTAGCAGCCAGGTCTCCACTGATTGCTGGGATGTTGTGCCACCATCTCCATGCTGTCCTCCTTTGCTTTGCCGACTCAAAACACAGATTATCAGTGAAAATGAGAAATTAGCATGAAAAAAGCCTGTCTAATCCTCAGCACTCTGTCTCATGTTAGCATGCGAGTACCAGTCTTAATAAATATATACTCTCTTGGGGGGGGTGTAATAAACCTCCATTCATTGTGTAAAATCATGTGGGGGGAAAAGAACTTTCTTGTAGAGAAAAAGCAGCCTTGGTTAAACATACTCAAGGACCATCCCCTCCTCAAATCTATACTCGTCCTTTCTGGTCACATCAAACTGGATAAATTAGAAGTTTGCCCGCCTCAGCTGACCCGGTCAGGCCCGCGGTGTTGCCACCTCCCAGATGAAGAGGAAGTTTAATTGACCTTCTGGCCCGTTGTGCTCGTTGGAGTGGAGGAGGGTTCCGGTTGGCGTTGCCATGTGAACAAATGACAGGGAGTGCTCCAGTGACTGCTGGCTCGGCTCGCCGGAAGCCATCCCGTCGGTCCCTTTTCAGGGGGGCGGGGGGGCCAGCCCATCATGTTGCCAGCCAGATTTTCTGTTGTTTATGGGGTGGGATCAGCTTCTTCCCGGCGACAGATTCTGCTTTTTTAATGATGCTGGTCCTGAAGATGCTGTGATTCCTAGTTCTTGCAATTCCTGCAGTTCTTGCTGACTGACAGGTTTGCCCTCATATTACACTGTGTTGGTGGAAAAGTGTTGAGCTCTTAAGGAGCACAAAGAATCTCTTTGTCTCAATACTTCATTCACTGAAAGTGCTTCACATTAGTGTTGAGCAGGTGAGCAAATGCTTGGCATTGGTGCTAGTGCTTCTTTAAAATTCATCAATTGTTTGTGTTATGCAAATAGGCTGTTTTATGTAAAGTGAAAACGTCGTTCCTGCGTCTCTCCAAGTTTGGTGGCAATGAAAATATGTGCATGAATCTAATATCACTCCCTGTGCATCACAGACAGTATTAACCCCCTCTGTGGTGTCACCTGAATTTCCAGCAGATCTTCCCTGGCTTGAGCTTAGTTTGCTCCAGGGTCCCGCACCTCATTTCAGGTTCTGAAGGTGGCAGAGGGGCTTTGATTATGACCGGCATGCTGTTCTCTCATCCCTACAGAACCGTGTGGAGATCAACGATGTGGAGCCAGAGGTTTTCAAAGAGATGATGTGCTTCATCTACACTGGCAAGGCACCCAACCTTGACAAAATGGCTGATGACCTGCTAGCTGCAGCAGACAAGGTGCTGGCAATAAACATACTGGAAACAGCCATAAATTCCATTAAGTACATCTTGCTTAGTCGTTAAAAGTGAATCTTCAAAATTCTGGCTGCATGGAAATTGATTATTTTAATCAAGAGAAGACATCCTCGCCCATTTCTCATTCAGCTCCACTGCAATCCACGGCCTCAGTGCCTCCTGTGCATGTCCATCCATGTTTCCCCAGTATGCTCTGGAGCGCCTGAAGGTCATGTGCGAGGACGCCTTGTGCAACAGCCTGTCGGTGGAGAACGCAGCGGAGATCCTCATCCTGGCCGACCTCCACAGCGCCGACCAGCTAAAGACGCAGGCCGTCGATTTCATCAACTAGTGAGTATCCCCTCGACAAGGCCCTGCTCAGGCCCGCGAGTGCGTCCATCAACGTTCAAAGCCAGCATCTGTCCTGCAAACACACCAGTACTTTTTGCTCATTAGGTAAATATACATTTTATAGCCTATAGATTTAGAATGGGATGTCATAAAAGTTCCTGTAGGTGTAATGGCCACGTGTCCCAATACTTTTGTCCATATAGTGTAAAAGTCTGTCTTCATGGAGTATAATGGTGAGCTGATTGTTGTGTGTATGTATTTGCCAAGCGGAGGTATTCAGGTACAGCAGCACTACATCTACTGCAGCACTATACACTAAAACCACATGTAGTTAAACCACATGTAGTTTAAAACTTCTCCTTCTTTGACAGCTCACAGTAACACAATAGCATTATAAAGGTTAATAGGCTGCCTAAAAATGACAAGACCAGGAATAAGACAAATATAATAACAATCTGTGTTTAAAGCTATTTTTATTGTTCAGGTTATTATTATTGCTATCTGTAAATTTGTAATTGTCTCCTGTTTAATTTTTTTTATTCTGACAATTTGGCAAATTTTACTTTTTTTTTTTTTTTTTTTTTTTTTTTACTTTTGCTCTGCTTGCCTTTCGTGTTTCATTTCTTATTGCTGGTCATGGCATCTAACAATGCATGACATCATTGACTCCTTATACTTTATTCATCTAAAGATTAAATATGCTTCCTCTGGGTATGAATTGCAGCCTGCTGTTTTTACCTTATTTTAATTGCTTTTGTTGTTTTTCTGAAAGAAAAAGGAACAAAGTAGCAAAACAAATTTCTCATGCAGCAGCCTCAGATTAGATTAATAGACATTGATCATCTTATTGCCTTCACATTACCATTGGCTGACAGAATAGAAACATTGTCCTTATACTTCAGAGGAAAACAAACCAAGTGTAAAAATAAGCTGTGACATAAATACTGTCCCCCTGCCTCGCCCGCTGTTGTGTCTTGTCTTGCTCATCCTCCGTCTCCATTTAAATGGAGCTGGAGTAATTGAATGCATTTTGCCAGATCCTTTGTAGCGCTGCTGGTGATTGTTGCCAGAAGTTTATTGCTGTTTAATTAGCTGCAGTATTGTCGTTTTCTCAAATCCAGGGTTCCGATGCTGAAAAAGAGCAAAGCAGCAGTCCTTGTGCTTGGGTGCCGTGGGGGTCGATATGTTTTTTTTTTTTTTATAGAATAATACAGCCACCCTGATCACAGGGAACTCAGAGCAGCTCATGACTCGATAGCTGTTCCCTGTGCCACTATAATATCCACCCATCCATTTCTATAAAGGCTCTTGGTGCAAGGGAGACTAATCTGATCAATTGAAAAGTTCAGCATCCGTATTCAAATCAGTTTTGTTTGTCCCCATTCCTCTCTACCTGCTGTATTGTTACTGCTCTTCTGGGAAAGATGCAGTGTGCCTGAAGATCAGCAGTGGTGTGCAGCAGCACTTTTTGTTGGGGTTTTGGGTGATCAATGCAATTAGAAATCTTTTTTGAATGGTGTGAAATGTTTGTGCTTGAACTTTTTGGTGGAGATGGGATTCTGTGTAGTTTCCACTAATTGAGTGAAATTCTATTCTGTTCCTTCACTGTGTTTGCAGACCTTGCACTGGTGTTCTTGTGTTGTTCCTGTATGTGTGCCCCTTCCAGACCCCACGCCCTCCTCCTCCAGCCCCTGCCCCCTCCCCTTTCAATCTCCGCCCCCTCACCCTCTAGTCCCCGCCCCCTCACCATCCCATCACCACCCCTTTACACTGCCGCCACGGCCCTTCATCCTATCGGCCCTTCACCCTACAGTCCCCGCCCTTTCACCTTCCAGTCCCTGCCCCTTCACCTGCTCATCCCCAGGCAGTAGGCCTGTCTTCAGCCCTGTGGGCGTTCATGAGGGGAATCTCATTTAACAGCTCCTCCCCTCCCCTGTTTGTAACAGCCGGGCTGTCCTCTTTAATTGAATGCTCTGTTGTGGTGTTAACAGGACTGATTTCCCACTGACACCCAATGAGCTGATGTGGGTGTAAGTGCCTCTAGTAACACTAGAGGTCCTAACGTTGAGTAGATGTCGAATAAACAGCAGCTGATAGGGCACAGTTTGAGGGTCACTTGAAGGACAACAGCTTGTCATGGTTAAAAAGCGTTAAACTCTTTTCATGTTTAGACTTCACTTTTATTTTGATTCCCCATCTTATCCTTATGGGCTGAATGTTACATTTAAATCAGTTAAACGTCAGAGGCTGTTACAAAACACATTAACCTTATTTTAAACATTTTCCACCTTAAGAATAATCTGAATTGTAATTTAATTTGAAATTTGGCAATAATGCCAAATATCTTTAAATTAACTCTGGGGAAGCCAGACCACCTTATCATTATAGGAAAAATATATCCATTTGGCTAAAATGATCATACAGACCCAGTGAACTCAAAAACAGGTGTTTTGTAAAAAATAACCCAGTCCATGTTATGAATGTGCCATATACGACCCACTGGACTGTTCATGCTGTTCCAACTTGTTAATTTCACCTATGAAATAAGGACAGAAAAGAAGGAAAAAACAAATCTTTGCAACATTCTCATTTTCAAAATACATTTATTGAGTTTTCCTTTTCATCATTCACCATGTGCTGGCAATAAAACACATGCTTCAAACATGCCAACCCATCAAGAAACAGATCAAGTGAACAGACTTGCAAAAAGGTGTACTACACACAGAACGTTTACTTGTGGTGGGTTGTAAGGTCTGGTGCACCACCTGTATTCCCTCTGTTTTTGTCTGAGGCTGACGTTGAGCACATGGAACAGGATCATCACAGTTGCCAGAAAAGTTTCAAAATCACTAAAACCTAGTTGTCCATGTTCTATAACATCTAAACATTATAACTGATGATGCAAAATTTCTGCCACTTACCTATTCACAGCTTGACAGGTGAATCTTTGCAGCATGTACAGCAACAATCTCAAAACGCGGTAGGGGCCATATTTAATGTGGAAAAAAATCTGGTTAATTCAGTCAGTAATCACTAAATGTCACTGTTACTGGGTTGTATATGGTACAATGAGCTGTAAAGCAAAAAAGAAATTCTTAACTTTGATGAATGTAAGGCAGAAATAAAAGGAAGGGTCGTATATGACCCCGTGGGTTCCCCAGGGTTACATTACAATTTTAAATTTACACGAAATTTACAGTGTCACTTTTTGGTAGTTTACCAAGTAACTGCATCAAGCATCAGGTATAATTTGCAGCAAAGTCGGCCTGGGCTGGGGGTCAGGAGGGGCTTAGACGGGGCAGATTCAGCCGCTTCTGTGGGTGGGGCTCTCACCCTGCTCGTGGCGGCACTGCTCTACATGTCACACACAGATATGCCAGACTGCATTGCACCCCCACCCTGAGACTATGGAGCAGCGACTGGGGGGACAGGGTCCATGTGCTGCTGCATCTTAAGCTTCCTGTGTCGTGTTAGGAGGAGAGCTGGCAGGAGTCGGTCACGGCTCTGTAGCATTGAATATCGATTGCAGAATGCTGTGCTGGGTTACTGCGCAGAACTGTGAGAGCTGCATGCATCTCTCCACTCTAATTCAGCATCTTTCCAGACTTGAGCAGTAGGGGGCGCCTCTGTACAGATGCAACACATAGGTGCCGTCAGACAGGTGGATTCCCATTGCCGTCACTTCCATGACTCGGAGACATGCCTCAGGGTTGAGGTGAGAGATACAGCAGGGTGCACTTTGGCACAGTGGTGGACCATGGGCAGAATAAGGTGCGCTCCAGCAGGTTCTCTATAAAGGAATATGGAGCCACCCTGTCTTCCAGCATGGTCTCCTTGGAGACGAGTGTTTGGAATGCAGCTGTCCAGAGACTCCCTATCGGAAATGTGTTGTGGAATGAGATGGGTGCAAGGTCTGTCCCTCAGCCACGAATACTCACATCGCCCAGGCAGCCATTTAACCTGTCGATGTCTTTCATTTCAGTCACGCAGCCGAGGTGATGGAGACCACTAGTTGGAAGTCCATGGTAGCCTCGCACCCCCACCTGGTGGCTGAAGCCTACCGGTCCCTGGCCTCCGCACAGTGCCCCTTCCTGGGCCCCCCACGGAAGCGACTGAAGCAATCATAGTGATTACTGTCACCTCATTGGACCATTCGCCCACCCACCAACTCCTTACAACCAATCGATCTGTTGACTCCGCCCCCAGCCCCCACACACACCAATTCCAATATTATACAAGGGGAACATGAACCAGGATGAGAGCGACAGCATCAAAAGCCGACTCCACCAGTGCGACTCCCTGCATTTCCAGGCCTGACAGCTGCCGGTTGTGCCTTTGCTGCACGGAGCAAGATGACCGAAGGAGAACCAACCAGTGGCTGGCATGGCGGCCAGGGGACTTTCAGCAAAAAAAAACAAAACAAAAAAAAAAGACGGGTATATCGCCATATTTGCAGCATCTAAAACTGAATATGATTACTTATTTATATGATCTTTTAAGACATTTCATGAACACTTTAGTCCCTTGTGTTTCCCTTTTTCATAATTAGCCAATAATGGACGTCAATAACAATACTGGTTGTTTATGTGGAAGTTTCAGTGTTTTAAGTGTGAAACGAGGTGGAGAAAAGTGCTCTTTTGTAGGGGACCGAAAACTTGGATGAAACAAGTTTCAGGAGATACTAGCCTTAGACGTTCCTCAAAATAGACAAGTAGAGCGCTGTTATTTATGTTAAATAGTAAACACATATAAGAATTGCACTAATTTCCATGTTTGCCCAGGTCTCAGCTGTGTGTATTCAGCGACTGTAATTGCAGAGTGCTCTAAAACCACACAGAGGCTCTACAGCTTCAAGGATCCCATAACAGAAATGGTGTTCGGGAAGAAGTATGCAAGGATGTATTTGGTTTACTTAGCTAGAGCTCTGTTTGGCTTGGGATAGTAGGTCAGAGAATTTGTATATCTATAAAATAAGATGACTTGTTGGAAATTGTAATTTTTGTGAAATATTTGTAATTTGATTTTTTTATAAACTTATTTTTTTTCCTCTCCTAGCACTTGTGTAGGTTTCTTTGAAAAAGAAAAATGGAAAAGGAGAGTGTCAAAATAAGAAAGGAGGGGGGGTGTTCAGATGTTTGTCATGTCATATGTTGTTCATTTTGCCCTCTTTTTTTTTCTTTTTTGGAGTTAGAGGAAAGAAAACATTTTTTAGCAGTTTGTAAATTATCAGTGTTTTATAAAATGTGTGAAGAAACCTTTTCATCCTTGAATTAATGAGAAATGCAAGTTTTTAGTTTGGAGAAAATGAACTGAATGAACACGTTTTAATGTTCGAAATATCCAAGCTATTTATTTAAGAAAAGTACAAAAAAATCGCCATCTGATGTTGCTCCTCCGTTTCTTTTTCTTTAGACGTTAGATGGGACATTGAAATAGTTGTCAAAAATGTTTTGTTCCTAAAGGAATAAATTGCAACTATTTTGTATGTTATGTTGTGTTTCTGCTTTCTGGGGTATCACCTGTGTGGCAGGGTGTGTCTCTCTGAGAATCAGATTCCTGGCATAAAACAAATGTTAGGAGGTAAAATGTTAGGTCATTTTCACACTTCAAGTTTTTTCTGCTAAGTTTTGATTTGATATTTGCCACCATATCAATGAGTAGCTCCTTTATTAGAAATCGGATTAATTGTTCCATCGCCCTGGGGTGGACCCCACAGTACAAATTGTGCCATCGCCACGTCACTCAAGTTGACACAATCATGTAAAACGTGCATAGCTCCTCGGACTTTCTTTGTAGAAGTTGTTCCTACTTTAAATAATACTTTAAATGGAGAAATCTGATAGACAGACCACCATAAACCATAAACACCCTGCTGGTTTCTGTTAGCAGAGTGTGGCTCTTCAGGCAAATGCTTTTTTAGATTCTGCAGTACAGTATATTCTATGATGCCTTTTGCATTAACTTAAGTAGGGTTAAGCAAATTCATGCTATAAAGCCAACAGATTATTAGGAAAAAATAGTTTAGGGACTGAACACTCAAACTTCATAGCACACACAAAAGATGAATCTGAAAAGAATGATGTTATAAAATAGATATAGATAAATAGATAAATTCTGCAATTCCTACTTTTCCTTGAAAAAAGACCTGGGGCTTTATCAAAGTTTATTATGCACAAAAACACACCAAAACTGTGTGTATGGGACAAAATCCTGGATGTATCATGAAAATTCTGTATATTCGGAAAACTAAGGTACAGGACAAATTGGGAAAAGGCGACACCCAATGTAAAGCAGGGAACTACAGGTAAACCAACTAAGCGACAGTATGCATGCCAACAATTCTTATCACCAACTGCAAAACAGGAAATCTAAATATATTAATTGGTATATGTTGCTTTTCCATTTATGTGAATAAGCCAACAGTATTTGCTCCTGTAGCCCAACAAGTACAGCATTGTGGTAATAATGCAAAAGTTGTGGGTTTACAACCCAAAGAACACCCTTAAAAACATGGTATCCCTTCCCTGTACTGTATAATTGCTTTGGATAAAAGTGTCAGATGAATTAGTTAAATATGATTTGCTATTTCACATGCTACGTATTGTTATCTCTTCCCATGAATTGGAAATGTCTGTAATTGTCACTAGTTACTTTAAGTGTAAATTAGGCGTTGAACGTTTGCCTTCAAGTATTCACATATATAAATAGCCTATAGTCATGAGAATGCAATACGGCATTCTTGCTAGTTACCAGTCCCTGGAAGGATTAGAAGGGAATGAGTTTTCACGGACCACTGAGATTATTTGTAACTGGTTTGTTTACTGTGTGCACTATGTGTGATATCCCCGCAGGAACATGCCCAAGATGGCAACTGGCTCTTGAGCCGATTTAGACTCGCATTCTACTCTGTATGTGCTGATGTGAGCACGACATTAAAGAGACTGACCACTCAAACTCTAGCTGCGCCTGTATACAGATTCTGTGTAAAAAATGTATGTAGCAATGTCTGATTTTCATAATGTAACCAGAGCAATCGACTGCACTCAATGTGATAAGGGCACCTCAAATCGAAGTTTCAGATGCAGTACAGTAGATGCAGGCAGTGAAATGAGTGCTAATAAAGCTTTCATCAGTCAAAAGCCATTTCATTCTACAACCCTGTTTCCAAAATAGCTGGGATGCAGTGTAAAATGTAAAAAAACAATGCAATGATTTGCAAATCATATAAACTTATATTTCACTGAAAATTGAACAATGACCTGAGGACCCGACGATCGTGGATATCCAGGACTTGTTTTCGGCCTTGTCCTTTGTGTACAGAGATTTCTCCAGAATCTCTGAATCATCTATGTACCGTAAATGATGAAATTCCCAAATTCTTTGCAATATTACATTGAGGAATATTATTTTTAAACTGTTGTGCTATTTGCCCAGTTATTTTAGTGTTGAACCTCTCCCTATCTTCATTGCACAGAGATTCTGCCTTTCTGGGAGACACTTTTTTATACCCAATCCTTACTGGCTTGTTGCCAAATAAGCTAATTAGTTGTGAGATATTCAACTAGGTGTTTTGTTTTAGCATTACACAACTTTTCCAGTCTTTTGTTGCCCCTGTCCCAACTTTTTAAAAATGTGTTGCTGGCATCAAATTCAAATTGAGCATATATTTGTCATAAAACAATAAAATGTCGCGGTTTCATTTGATAGGTTGTGTTTGTTCTATTTTCACTTAAATATGGGTGTATATGATTTGTAAATCATTGTATTCTGTTTTTATTTACATTTTACACAGCCTCCCAACTTTTTTGGAAATGGGGTTGTACTAATACAAAAGTCGTATGCGATAACATTTTGATGGCCAGGGTCAAATGATTATCCATTCATTTTGAATCTCACGTACCATGTCAGTATCTCCCGACTGCTCTAACAGACACCTGCATAATGAGCTTATATTATAGATGAGGAACACGTTGTGTTTTGAGGGCAAAGATGTGGGCTTGGCCCGGATAGTTATAGTCACAACCTCATGCAGCAAGTTGTTTCTTTATCTTCAGATAAAACCACTTTTAAATATATATTTTGGGTAGAGTGTGTTTTGTAGTGCTGATGGAATATATTGTAGGATGATTTCTTGCCATTTATAACACTTTTTTAGATTCAACTTTACTATCAGTTATTATCAGACTCTGATAATAACGTATTAACATGTACGTGTGTTAATTCATTAGGGAATGTATGCATTTTCCTGTGTGATAAATGCGCTTAGACCCTCAAATTTAATTTTATCTCTACCTTCCATTGTTCAAAATTCTTCTTCTATGGTTTTTTAATGACAATCGCTATCATTGGACTATGCAACCAGTAAGGTTTAATTTGCATATTATATGAGCATGCAACCCAATTGCATTGACCATTTATGGTTATTTTTGAGCAGCCGCTGGGCTGGATCTGCGAGATAGTTCTGATGTATCAATGGAATTTTTTTTACCCATTTTTTTCATGCTGAAATGTATGCAATGTTTGATAAACAAGGCCTCTGAAGTTTGCTGGTGAAGGTGGATGTTGGAAGTTTAGGGTTGCTTGAAGTCTTTCTAGTCATACATTGTTTAATTTAAGTTTTCTTTAAGTTTTGGGGCATTAAATGAACTTTTTTATTATAAAAGTTAACAAATGGTGTAAGAATAGGAACTTAGTAAGATAGTAAGAACCAAGTAAGATAATTTGAAGTGAACTGATGCTGTGACTGGGTGTTTCGTGTGTGTGTGTGTGTGTGTGTGTGTGCATGCGTGCGTGTGTATGTGTATGTGCAAGCGGGTTTACCAATCCTTATGGGGACATAATGTCCCCATAACGTGATAAATATCCGTTTTTTTTCCCTTATAGGGACCGGTTTCCTGGTCCCCATAAGGGAAAACTCTATTTTATAAAAATCGGTGACTGCTATGAAAAAACTAAAAATGCAAAAACTCTTGTATTTTGTTACTTATGGTTATGGTTAGGGCAGGG